GTTACTGATGGAAATTCACATAAAAAAAAGCGACAATTGTTTTGAAATCTATTGTCACAATTATATTCGACTAGGGTAAAACAATATTTGTTCGTTAGATGAAATTCTAAATAGGATTTTAAATCGATCAACAATGTGACGACAGACAATGTTACAAACAGGATATCTGTTAAAAAATATTTGGCGGTTTTAGATAATGGGAATAATGAAAGCTGAATAAAATATTTCGTCAGTCAAAAGCAATATGGACTAATTAGCTGATTAAGCGACGGGTGGTGATAGAAGGTGTTTCCATATATTCAGGTGACGATAATGACACGAAGTCAGTCTGAGTGTCTATTGAGGCCGACTTTCTTTCTTTTTTTTTTTTTTTTTTTTTTGCTCGTCGTTCGGAAAGTGAGGAAGAGTGAATGACGTGTACGGCCTAAAAATAAACAAAGAACAAGTGTGTCCGGAAATTGCCGAACTTTAAAATCCGTGCTACGAAGGTAATTAAGTTTAGAGAATTTGTCGTTTCTATATATTTGTTATTGTGATGTGGGGCGAATTGATTTGTGTGGAGACATTGGGTGGGGGATCCAAGGCAAAGATGTCTGTAGTTTTAATTGGTTTATTGAATTTAGATTTATTAAAATTGAAATTTACGTGATAAAATGGTTTATAGAAGTCGTCAGGATTTTTATACGAACAGGACTTGTACATAAGCGGGTGAAAACTGACTTTCATCCCGGAGCAGGCAGCCCATGATAACTTTTAATGGTTGCGAGAGACATCTGAGAAAATTATAAAATCAACAAATACAGAGTAACCCGGATATAAGAGACCCGGATATAAGAGAAACCCGGATATAAGAGAGATTTTCTCTGGTCCCTAATTAGAGCCCATACTTTAACTAAACAAAATAGATCAAAACGGATATAAGAGAAAACCGCATATAAGATACTTCTTCTCCGGTCCAGACAACTCTCTTATATCCGGGTTACACTGTAATGACATATTAAAAATAAAAGCAGCTAACTACACTGATTTCTTTTCTTTTTTTCACTCACTTAGTTATGTGCCAGGCGTGATACACGCTTAGGCGACCATGTATCTTTCGAAAAATGGCTGACGAGCCAGATTTTTCCCGCAGTAGGCTGCCATTTCTTTCTGCGGTAGAACAGTTGTCATCCAAGGCTATAAAAACCCTGTCTGTCCTGCTATTTACCCAGAGCTTGGGGGAGAAGAGTGAAATAAATTTGACTGGAATTCGAACTCTGGTCTCCGATTCCTCAATCCAAGCGGCTATCCACCATACTTCCTTACTTAACCGTAACCCTATTTTCATGTTCTCTGTAACTATGCATGTCGTCGGAAATAAATAAAAGAGTACTGAATTGTTACGTGACATCTATCCTTCTGAATGGTAGTGAATGCTGGACAATCTCCTCAACGATGAAGATAAGACTTGAAGCAACAGAAATGTGGTTCTTCAGAAAGATGCTGAGGATACCAAAGACCGAGCATGTGAGCAATATCAAAGTTTTGGAGAGAATAGAAACAAAAATGAAACTTATAGTTAACATCAGGAAGACACAGTAGGGGCACGTAATGAGGAAGGAAAGCTTGGAAAATCTGGTACTCACAGGGCAGATTGAAGGAAAGCGGGACAGCAGAAAACATCGCATAACATAAGAGATGGGCTTGAGCAAATTGATGGCAGAACAGGGTTTTGGAGAAATGAAAAAAAGAACTTAAGAGCTAGTTGGAGGAAGATGTGGAAGGCTATGATTTCTTTACGTCCTGAAGGTACACGACACATAAAAAAATTACTGTGCATAGAAATGGAGAGAGGGTGATATACTGAAACGGGAACCTTCTCTGCTTACTCTACTCAAAAAATATCAATAATTAATTTGTTATTATATAAAAGTATCCTAAAAAAATGTAAAAGGCAGACACTACATGCGTTGTACGCAGATAACACAGGACGTTCTAGCAATGTTACAAATAGGTTGTATTTACATTTGGTTTCATTTACGGCATATCAAACTCTGTGAGTTATTTAATGCCAACAAGATTTTTCGAATAGGTTCGTATGAATAGAATATGTATTAATATTTCCGTTTTTATTTCAAAACTGTATTGTTGGTAATATTTTTGTTTAAAAAAATTATTGCTGTTTTTTTTTACTATAAAAAACCTATTTTTATACTATATAGAGTTTTGACCCCTGTTTCGGGGGTTAACTATTGTAGGCCCGAGAACGACATCAATTCACAGGTGGTTCAACACTCCTCAAAAACTGAAGATCAGAAGCCTTGCTACCGGGTATAGTTTATTCTAGTACCCTTAACAACTTATTGGGGGTACTTTTACCCATATGCAGACGTGCAGTCGGCGTATTTTAAAGACTCAGCTGATGTTGTGTTTTGGTTGTGGTATATCTGAAGTTCTGGCGAAGTATGAGGGGCGGCAATAAAAAAACGAACAAAACTCGGAGATACAGAAGATGACGATTGGCATTGCATTTAAATTTTTGAAAATCGCAGTTGACAGGAAAGTAAGTAATTAGAAGAGAGTTCCACACGTGAGAAGTGCAAGAGAAGAAACTCTTATGATAGAACTGACGGTTGCATTTAGCATTTTCAAAAGTAAAATGAAGACACCTAACTGCGAATCTAAAATAGTGCTTAAATTCGTAAAGTAGAGATACCAAAGTGAAAAGCTAACTAGAATAATTACCGTGAAAATATTTATAAAAAAATGTCCAGGGAAACTGCATTACGACGGTTGTAATGTTACTGAATCCATGATGCCATGTCAAGACCGATAACATTATAGATTGTTCGGATTCTTTCTATAATCTCGATTAAATATATATATATATATATATATATATATATATATATATATATATATATATATATATATAAATATAATTATTTATTTAAAAATATGATTCCAAATCGCGACATAAGAAGTCCCATGTTTCAAAACAAGAGCCGAAAACTTCAATATAATTATCTAAATTATTTAAATGATTTAAATTAAATTGAGTTAAAGTAAGCTCCGTTCCATCTTCAAGCGAATTTTTTTTTTGGAATAACGTGTTTCTGAAATTTACGTGCTTTAAAAATTGAAATCAAAATTTCCATGGTAACAGCTAGGGCGAATTGTTTAAGTTGGGTAGGCGGGTGTTGGGTGTTAATAATAAATATCAGTATAGAGTTACTTTCGTAGATGTCAAGTCAGTGAAAGGTAGGGGCGTCTAAATTTGAAACGGAAGATGTATTAACCCTCGTCTAGTTTGCATGTCTATGGACATTTATTTATTTTTTTATTTTATTTTTTATGAAAGGTATTTGTGCATATAAAAAAGAAAACAAAAACTGTCGTAACGTTTGTTTTTGACGACTTCATAAAGGGTTATCTTTTTTAGGGTATTTAAACTATTTATTTTGGCTATGGATTATGAAGGGTGTTATATTGTATGCATGTTTTAGTTAATTATTCAAACCATGAATCTGATGAGTGGGCTATGGATTAAACAAGTTATTATATTGTATACTAGTTTTTAGCTAATAGTTCAAACCAAAAATCTGATGATGCCTACAAAAAAACCGTTAACACGTGTCTATTGTTTAATAGATTATTATTATTTAGAAGCTTAATTATGTGCAATTTCTCATGGAGGCATAAAGGGCATGCGTCATCCCAAAATTAACATGTACTAGCCTTGTTAATAATTTTCCATTTAACTTTAGGTGTCCTATTTGTTTCCTTCAAATGCCAAAAATATTTAGATAGGGAAGTCTGATTTCTTTTGTTTATATTATTGAAAGAACACTTATGCTGCCTCCATCTATCTTTAAAATCATTCTTCGTGGACCCAATGTATATCATATTAGTGCTAGGGCTCTCAGTGGATGATATAGTACATTGGTATACCACTGATTTAATGCAGCATTTATTTTCTAATGGGCAGTCTTCCAGGTTTCTACAGTTACATAATTTTTCCCTTTTATTGTCTGATTTAAGTGCCTTGTTTTCTTGTCAAAAATGCCTTCCGACATCACATTAATAAGCAGCATTTAGACAGCTACTCACAAACAATATCAAAATACTAGCAAAATCAAATAGTAAAAACGGACTTACGATCCTTGAAGCAATACTCGTACAACAAAAAGAACCATCTATAATTAAAAACAAGAATTTATATATATATATATATATGTATATAAATATATATATATATATATATATATATATATATATATATATAGCTGGCCACTCGTATTCGAGGATACCAGTCTACTAGGGCGGCTAGCTAATCCCTATTGCAGACACTTGATCAGGCACATTTATGTTTGCTCAACATCCACAGGGCCCAACTGTGGTTTATACTGCAACTATGCTGAGCAGATTACTTACTTAGTTACAGATTCTGGGAAAGAGCCTGTTATCTTGCGTGATCATCAATTTGAACAAGGCTAGCACGCTCATGACCTCGGCTACAATGACTTGTGTCTTCGTGCTAGACCAGCTATGGACGGCCTCTAAGGTTTTCTTCTATCAAATTTCACTCACAAGTCTTGGGTGAACCTATGGTATGTTTTTTTTTGTGGCACTTTCCAAAGGTTCAGCACGTTGAGAAGGATCCCTCCAATCCGATAACATCAGGAAGTCAAATTGACTATGGTGAGATTCGAACCCGGGTCTCATGGTCACAATGCGAACGTTCTAACCATTCGGCCTAAAACGTATATAAAACACACACACCAGTCACACTTCGCTTATGTCACAGCACACTTTGCACACGTCGCTAAACTCACTAGTTCTAGGAAACTCACTATTTGTCTCTACCTACCCTGATGATGATTTAAGTCGAAAGATTGAACCGTATTTCTTCCAAAATTCATTTTGGACTATTACTGACGAAATTTCCTCCTTATCGGTGAAGGATTATTTGTAATTTGGAAAAGACGATAGATACAAAACGTCTGTTTGTCTTTAATAACAATCGATAGATAGATAGATAGATAGATAGATAGATAGATAGATAATGAGCAGTCTTAGACAGATATGTGTATGTAACGGTAACAACGAAGACATTCTAAGTCAACACTCTGATGCATCATATTTCCTCTGAGACGCTGGTGTGACAGGAATTGTTCAATCTAGTTTGGTACCTATTAGGTTGCGTCCAATATATATTTGGGTAGGATAAACGTCTTTTAGAACACAAGGTTTCCTTTTTAAATTATATTTCGATTCAAACTTCTAGTTTATCTGAAGTGAATCAGTATGTACGTATATAAGGTAAAGAACAATTGATAGCGTTTTTTTTCAGTCTAACATGTTTAACTTTTATTTAAGGTTCGTCAGAGATTAAGAGAAAGCAGACAAAACGATAGAATTTTGGTATTTTCAATTTTGTTTGGATCGATTCTCATTGGTTAGTCATGTATCAGGTGCATTAAACCGTAGATAATTCTTTATGTATGTAATTCTATGTCTAAGCGTGCGTCGGATTGTCATGTGTATTCGTAATTGTTTATGCGTGTCTAGAAGGAAGAGTTCTACTGCTTTAACTTCTATGTTATCAGTCAGCGTAGCGAGATGGTATTCTATTAATCTGGGACTGTTTTATGTATGTACTGTCTGTATTAGATTGATATAAGTTAGATCCTTTAATTTAAATAGTTAAAAAAAGGATGGTGATGTAATGTTTTAGTTGGTACTGTTTTTAAGCTTTCAAAGTATTTTCTTAGAGATATTTGTTCGTTTTTAATTAGGATGGTATTAGGAAAATCAAATTTATGGCCAGCTTTGTTTCTGTGTAATACGAGAGAGTTTGACAGTTTATCTAAACGCAAATCTCTCTTGTGCTAGGAGATGCGAGTTTTTAGATATATGTCTCCAAATTATCTTGAAGTGGCAGAAGAAGAATTATCGTTGAACTTTGGGAAAGTAAGCTTAAGTATTACTGCAATACTTAAATGCAGCGATCAATTTTGAGTTCTGTAGTTTATTGTTGCATACCACATGAGTATGCCTAGCCAAAAGAAATCTCCGTGAACAGCGGACCAGATTGCAATCAAAAGAGCCAAGGCTGCAGCGAGAAAGAGAAAGAGCTGTGCAAATGAAAACCCAGATCTAATGGCAGCCAGGAGAGGTTCCAATGATGAGAATATGCACAGAATTAGGATCTCTAAAACTCCTGAACGCTGGCGCTAGCATAAATGGCGTCCGTTAGGGCGGCTCTTAAGCTACTAAAGCAATGTTTGAATTTTACTGCCTTTAAGCTTGGCATCCGTTGATTTTTTGACATTTTGAATGAACACGTTGCTACAAGTTATACTAACGTTGGTTCCACAAATCGAATGCACATGAAATATGATTAACCAATGAAAATAAAGCAATACAAAAGAAATCTTTGATAAAGCTTTATTAAAAGTCAAACACGTTAGATTGATAAAGCTTCCCTATTTGTTCTTTATCTTGCTATATATATATATATATATATTAGGTTGGTGCAAAAATAATGACGTAATAATGTCGTTTTTGACGTATTTTTAAGGTCAAAAACGACATTATTACGTCATTATTTTTTGCACTAACCTAATATATATATATATATATATATATATATATATATATATATATATATATATATATATATATATGAATGATAAGGTACTTCTGTTATTTCTTATCATTGTATTTTTTAAATTTCTTTTTGGGATTTAGTATAAAATTGCCTCCAAAATTGCTCGTTCCGAGTCCTTCCGACTATTCTATTAGTCAATTTTCAAGGATTTTGGGTGTCCTATTGTAAGTGCTATTGTAAAAAAAGTGTATACATAGATGGAAGGTAGAAATATACTTGATATACTCCTGTCACTGGATATACGCCTTTATCCACTGTGCCGTGTGTCCTTATGGCAGGCACAGTGGATAAAGGCGTTGGTTAGATCCAGTGACAGGACACAAAGAATGTGAGTTCAATACCCGGTTAAGGCAGTGGAGAAATTTCAGAGGGAAATTAACAGGAGATAACTGATAACTGATATCCATCAAACATGGCACGTGGAACTAGAACAGTCTACCCCAGTGAGCGAATTAAAGGGTTCAGTTTGACATTCCAACCACCTGAAGAAGGGCGGAGCCTACAACGGCCGAAACGTTGTAATAAATATGGCGACAAAGATGAGGACAATAGTCCGAATAATGTAAATAATGTAAAGTATTAGTGGGGAAAAAAGGAACACTCCGTCAGAAAATTGTACTGAACTCTTACGTAAAATTATTCTTCCTATGTGGCAGTGGATGCTAGACAATCTCATCAGAGATTAATAGACTTGACACAATAGAAATGTGGTTCTACAGAAGGATGCCGAGGACAACATGGGCTGAACATGTGAGTAACAACGAGAAAATGTAAAGAAAATTGGCAATTATATTTAAAATAAGGAAGAGATTGTTGAAATTTCTAAGGCACATAATGAAGAAAAAAGGCTTGGGGAATTTGATACTCACAGAATATATTGAAGGCAAGAGAGACTGGGGAAGACAGTGAATAACCTACCTAACAATCTTGTGTTAATTCTTGGCAGGAAAATGAATTAGGCGAGATAGCAATAAGAGGAAATTTCCTCAGAGCCCTAAGGGAGAGGAAATTGTGATGGTCAACTCGCTGAATGAACAAGGCACAGAGAAGAATGTGAAATGGATAATCACACTACTAAAAGTGCCATATAGCATATCTTGTTACACAATGCAAAGTCTGGGGCTAGGGTAGCATGACAATTAGTCAGAATATCTTGTGGGCGTGGTATTCTGACAGTAATCGATTGCCTGACAGTAATCGTATAATTTCTAAAACTTATACAATGTTTTAGAAATACTATGTAAACGCCGCGAATGCGGAAGATGAACGCAGAAATTTTATAGCGCCGATAAGCTTTCCGCACACGGATTGGATAGACAGTCTAAGGCCGCACGTGGTGAGATGCTATGCCAATGTATGGACATGCGTTCCTTTGAAGTCCTTCTGACTCCTAGAATCTCTGTTACCACGTCTATCGTTTTCATATATAAAAAACGAATAAGAAAATAAGTCTCGTTTATACAGTATATGAAGTGACGTTGGAATCTGAGGGACTGAAGACAGTGACGGCATGGAACTCAACCGTATTTATATATCACTATACAGTACTGAAATGCTACGTGATATCGTTCGTCCTTTACGGCAGCGAATGCTGGACGGTCTCCTCAAAGAAGAAGAGACTCGAGGCAACAGAGATATGATACTACATAAGGATGCTAAGGATACCATGGGCCAAAAATATGATCAACAATGAAGTTTTGGAGTGGATCCATAAAGAATAAACTTATACTTAACATCAGGAAGAAGCAACTGGAATTTCTAGGAGATGTAATAAGAAAAGAGGGCTTGGAAAATCTAATACTCACATGGCGGATAGATGGAAGGATGGACAAAGGTTAGCAACGCGTGACATGCTTAACGGGCCTAAGCAAGTGAATGGCAGAACAGGGTCTGGGTGAAATAACAAAATGAATTATTGAGAGCTACAAGGTACAAGAAGAATTGGAGAGCCATGATCGGCTACGTCCGGAAGGAAGATGGCACATAAAAGAAGAAGATATCTGGGGTGAATGCGAGTCGGTACAGACGCAAAAGAGGCCCGGATTGCGTCCAGACATGTCTGTCAACACCTGTTACATCGGTATTTCTTCGTTAGCAGCAGGACAGCTTGGTATGTCTAGATACTAGACATTCTGCAAATAGTCAAGATCCGGGTCTTTGCAAAATGCCTCATGCCAATAAAAGCAACGGGGTAAACCCAGCATTCAACGGTTGGAAAGGCACACTGTCTTGTGAATTCGACAACTTACCATGGTTTCAGTGACAGTGTTATTTTTTACCGCTTGTCTTTTTCCCCTCTCTGTTTATTACCCCATTCATTGCTGGGAAATCAATCGGTTAAGTGTTGCCCCTAATCTCAACAAACTCTTGCCTTACATTACAATATCTTTATATCTTGCCACCTCAGTAGAAACTATTCTCAAATTCAAGAGCTTACTGCACGTCATCAACAATGATAAAGCAACGGGCTATTTCTATTTTTTCTTTGGACGTAGGGTTCAATGTATAATCGATGGGCTGGCAACTGACAAAAGATTGAGAAACTTACAAGTTTTTCATTCAACGACATTATTCAGCCGTCTTGACATATCGTGCTGACAAGTGGAGAAATGTACAAAAAGAAGGTTTCCCCCTTTTTGAAAATCTGAAGTGTTTTATCTTATGTCCGCGGGTGTGTTACTTTGTGTCCGGGTTGCTGACAGGGCTTCATTTACGCTATTAATGTTTTTTCTGAAGAGGCGCCATTGGCGGCGGAACACGTTTGAAACACGACAAATAATCTCCCGCACCATTTTTGCTTTATTGAAAAATCAAACGTGTAGCAGTAAATAATAAATAAATATATGAAAAATATTTGTCATCTGATGTTTATCGTCTCTTTCTCTTCCACACACACACACACACACACACACACACACACACACACACACACACACACACATATATATATATATATATATATATATATATATATATATATATATAAACAAATGAGAGAAAGAACAGATGAATTAATTTGCACTGTTCGTAGTATTTACTTTTTAAAAAAGTATTCAATAGAGCAATATATTATTATTATTTTATTTTAGATATTAGAACAATAATATGTTGAGATCCCAACACAATAGCTTTCGTGTTTCGGAACTACACTGTACCTTTTCAGGTGAATGGTAAAGTGACTGGTGATTAAATAATTTAAAAAAAAAAATCAAAAGCAAAATGTTACATCCTTTTCAAAAGATAAAATAGAAGGGTTAAGAAAACACATGGTCAGTATTAAAAATAGACTTGTGGGTTTGTCTTGATCAACCAATGAAATACCAGATCTACGCTAAATAAAAAAAAAATAAACTCAGAGGTTGGATGTGTGGAAGTTATTTGTTTTCATGACATGATAAACCAGAACTTAGACAGGTCATAACTGACCATTACAGAAAACATG